CCCCGCCTGACGTTGAAGGGCAGCAACGCGCGGAGCACGAGCTTGTAGAGAAGCCAGCCTCCTCTTAGCCACGGTGCGGATGACACCCTTGCCATGTGTGTGTCATGCACCAGGTTCCGAGCAGGAAGTCGTTGAGGTAGTCGTAGCACCTTTGCCACTGTGCGAAAACTCCGCATAGCCATCGTGGTATTGGCTATCCAGCCCGATTTGCTTATCTTGATCTCCAGTCCGAGCGGCGCCACCTCGTCGATGAAGGTCCGCACCGCCGTGTGGAGGACCAACGCACCTCTGCCGATGGCATCTCCGACCCACTGCAGGGTGAGGTCGTCCATGAGGCCCCTCGGCGTCAGGTCGTCAGAAATATCCCTGAGCCTCGTGACAGCGCGGAAGAGGAGCATGATGAGTAGCGCGGAGCTGTGCGCGCAGCCCGCCCGAATACTCAGGTTCGTGACGACTGCCTGGGACCAGCACCCATACGCTCTGATGACTCGAGGCATGCGGAAGTAGGCTAGCAACTGCCAGACCAGCCGCATGGGGTAGTCAAGCCGCCTCGCCTCCGACATCAGAGGCTGGGTCAGGACACTGTCAAAAGCCTTGTGAAGATCCAGGATGACCGAGAAGGGGCAGAGGCGGAGGCGGGGGCGGAGACGGAGGAGGAGGAGGAGGAGGAGGAGGAGGAGGAGGAGGAAGCGGAGGCAGAGGAGACAATAATGGCGCCTCACCAATCACGAGGAAGACGATAAGGGTTAATTCCAGATTGGCCGAGAGGCTGCTCATGTGGGGTCCCACCGCCGGAAACATTTGCTTTATCCTCTGGCATATAGCGGTCGTCACCCAGCCAACCCCCCTCCTCCAGTAACGGTATCGAGCGTATGTGAAGGGGGTGGGGCATAACCCCCCTCCCACATGCTGTTTCTCGCGCGCACACGACGGCGATCGCAGCGCGCCCCCCCGCCCCGACGTGCCCCACCCCGACCAGCCCACTCACCTCCTCCTCCTCCTCCTCCTCCTCCTCCTCCTCCTCCTCCCCTCCTCCCCTCCTCCTCCCCCTCCCCCTCCCCCTCCTCCTCCCCCTCATGACGACCGTTACCAGGAGTAATAACATAAAAACATCAATCTCTATGCTTCGCGCGGCGGGGGACTGGGAAAAGCTCGGAACGTTGATGCACGATGACCGGGGCGCGCTTAGGGTGTCGGGCCTCGGCGCGGTAGGGGCGCGCTGGCGAAAGAAGAAGAAGAAGAAGAAGACAATTACTCCGACGGGTGTAAAATCAGAGGACGCGGGCTCTGGAGGGGAGGCTCACTGATGGCATCGCCGCCTGCTGACCGTGGACAGCCCCGCCACGGCACACTCGCAGTAGCTCATCCTCTCCCTCCTCTACCTCCTCTGCTCCACCACTTCCTCCTCCTCTTCTCCATCTATTTTCCTTGTCAATAACACCTCCCTGTCGCACCCACAGACGCGTCGGTATGGCGGGCCGGGCGTTTCGCCTGAGACTTCCTCAACACGTCTAATCCTAAGGCTGGAAGGTTCCGACAATTCCACGGGTGGAGGGCGGCCAATTTTCAAACTGTGGCTCTTGCCTTGGCGCCGCGCACATTTGTTTCAACGTGTGCAACGGCTTCACGATGGAGGGCGGGCCGTTTTCAACGTGTGGTTCTCGCCTTGGCGTCGCGCGCATTTGTTTTGAAGTTTGCAGCAGCTGCAAGGATGGAAAATTGTACCTTCCCGAAATGCTGCTCTCGCATTAGCGCCGCGGACATTCGTCTGCATGGTTTGCAGCAGTTTCAAGGCCTCCTATGGCCAAATATCTCCAGGAGTGGTGTGATGGCAGGGTTTGGATTATGGTCAGGACGCGAAAGTCACGTGGAACCGCGGTGCCGAAGTACCAGGAGTGGCACTCTGGCACGATTTGGGGCTGAGAGGACGCAAAAAGAACGTTCATCCGCGGTGCTGAAGTCCCAAGAACTGTGTTCTGGCACGGTTTGGGAATGTCCGGACGCAGAAGTCACGCTGATATCCAGCGCTGAAGCCCCAATAATAATGCGCTGGCACGTTTTAGGATTCGCGGACGGGTGTCTTCCAATGGGCCACTTCCCGCGATGAAGATGCGTGTTTGTAGGGGTCTGCGACCAAGGGAACTGGCGGGAGGGTTTATTTCAACATCGCTGGTGCGCCTTGGGTATGCACTGGTCCTCCTCCTGTCCTCCACATCCAGATCACCCACGTTCATCACCACCTCTTCTCCTCAACCTCAGCTTTCTCTAGGCGGCGAGCGAGGGGAAATGAGAAAGAGAAGGCCTTCTCTGAAGGTGGCGGGACTTCTCAGAAACCCTCGCGCCCTCTGGTTTTTTTGTTTGTCGTTGGGGAAGGCTTAGAACACTTCTCAGACGGCAGGGGGACCTCCGAACCTTCTGAGAAGGCCTTCTCTCACTTCCCGCCTTCGCTCGCCGCCCATTCTTCTCCACACTCCACCCCCCCCCCTTTGGGCCTCGGCCAGGTGGGCCCGTGGGGGTACCTCCTCCTCCTCCTCCTCCTCCTCCTCCTCCTCCTCCCCCTCCTCCTCCTCTTCCTCCTCCTCCTCCTCCTCCTCGTGCTTCTCCTCCTCCTCTTTCTCCTCTTTCTCCTCCTCCTCCTCCTCCTCCTCCTCCTCCTCCTCCTCCTCCTCCTCCTCCCTCTCCTCCTCCCTCTCTCCTCCTCCCTCTCTTCCTCAGCGTGGAAGAAGCGGGTCTTCGGGGGATCCCTGGACCTCGGGGCCCTCGTCTGGGACCAGCTGCCGATCCGAAGCTGTTCCTGCTGCAGCCCATTCGGGCCCGTGGAGGGCCCCGAAGGGACTAACAGTAAGTCGGGCATGTCCCCCTACAGGCGGATTTTGGAAGAACCATGAAAAGTACCCAACAAATACTCCAAACATGCTCAACAATATGTTACAAATCGTCCCCATCGTATGTTTGACTATTTTTGAATATTCCTCCTGTAGAGGGACAGGCCCGACTTAAGACTAACACAAAGGGGCCCTGGGGCACACAAATAAATAGACACAAATCTCAGGAGTCTCCACATGTTCCAACATTTTCTGGGTTCCCGTCTCCCCCCACACTTCCAATAGTTCCTCATCTTTTGCTGGGACTCGACGGTTACTCGTGTCTGTGTGTTCTTCCCCTCCTGAATAACATTGGAAGAAATGCAGGACCCGCTTCCCTCAGGACCCACATGTGCTTCATGGCGATCCCTGTTCTCTGGAACTTCTTTCATACACTTATTCCTGGCTGCGGCTGTTACCCCGGAGGGGGGGGCGAGTAACGGTAACGCTTGGGCCGGGTGAGGCGCGTCGAGGCAGGGGTGCGCTGCGATCGCCAAATCATGCGCGCGAGTACCAGCATGCGGGGGAGGGGTCCAAGCTCCCCCCCCAAGACGTACGATCGCTACTCTTACCAGTGGGTGGGGGAGGGGTAACGACCGTTGCGCGCCAGAGGGTGAACAAACAAGGTCCCTCATCCTCCTCAGTGCTAGCGGGGTTCGCTGCAGGGTCTTCCCTGCTCACGGGGGTTCGCCGCAACCTAGCCGATATGTGGCCGCCGCAGGGCCACGTCTCGCAAGTGCAGAAGGGGGAGTTGGCAAAGTTCACCGCGTAGAGCAAGATCCGGTGTTAATTCAAGATTGAACTTCCATATGATGGGATCTCCCAACCTCCATATTTCAGTCTCACTTCGGGAGCTGTTCGCAGGCGAGACCACCAGACGAGCAGGCCCCAATTGCATTTGTTATCGAATCGCATCCCCCTCCTCAGGGCAGCCCGCAAGCCCAGCGAGAATCGGGGAATCAATCGCATCGGTGCCCGCTGGCCAGCGCCCCCACATCCCTGCTCGGCGACCCAGAGAGAACACGCGCCGCCGGAAGCGCCGCTGCTCGTCACCATTGGACCCGTCAATGCCATGACCAACATCACCGTCGCCATCAACATCAACAGATCCATCGTCGTCATCGTCACCGTCACCCACGTCGCTTGTCATCGTCATCAGCATCGCCGTCGTCAGCACCACCGTGACCAGCGTCGCCGTCATCACTGTCGTCCTCATCGTCGCCGCCGCGAGGCTCGAGGAGCACGTGCGCAGAGTGGCTGCGAACGGCATGTGACTGGCCGCCCGTGGTGCCCGCGGCGGCTTCGCGCCCTGGGCCTGCCAGAGGGGCGTGCCCAGCCGTGGGGCAGGCGAGAGTGCGGGGGGGGCAGCTCACCAACCCTTCCCACGGATCCCCGCGCCCACAACCAAGGGGCCAGTCTGGTATGCTGCGCGCGGCGCGGGGCCGTGCTGAGGGGGCTGGCCCAGGCGTCCAAGGTGCGCCTTCCACGTGGACGACCGCTTGCGCGCCTGGCACAGGACCTCTGTTCAACAGGGACCGACCGTCCCGGCAATCCTATAAGCCTACCACGAAGTGTCCACAGAACCCAGAAATGTGCTAAGAACAACAACCATGTTCCTAACACATATGCCCGACGTGTGAAGACACGACAATCTCGGCCAGAAATGTTCTGATAACATTTCGAGCAAACCACCAGGAGTTCTTGGAACATTCTTTGGCGGGCCTATAGGCGAGCCAGGACGCTTCACCGCTACGTGGACCTCGCACGAGGCGAAGGCGTGGAACGCAGGACGTCTTCCGCGGGACGCGCGGGGAGCCCGGCGGTGGTCATCGCCGGCGGGAGGAGTGCTGGCGCGCCGGGGATTTGCGGACGGGCGGCCCAGGGCCTCCTCTCGTTCCTCCTCCTCCTCCTCCTCCTCCTCCTGCTCCCTCCTTCCTCCATCTTCCTCCATCCTCCTCCTCCTCCTCCTCCTCCTCCTCCTCCTCCTCCTCCTCCTCCTCCTCCTCCTCCTCCTCTTCCTTCCCCCCTTCTCATTTGACCCCAAGCCATTCGCGGTGGGAGAAATCCTCCCAGTCGCCGCCGCCGTCACCAGCTTCTCGGCTTCAACATCGCCTCTCCTCGCGGTCCGCCGCGCACCCATGGTGAAGCAGGCCAGGGCAAGCTGGAAGATCCTGCCGCTGTCGACCCCGGCCTCGAACTCCTAGGGCAAGCGGAGCGAGAGCGTAGATGCCGCCGCGGCGAACAGCTGGGCTGGGGAAGGCGAGGGAGATTGGGATGCGGGAGGCGTGCTGGACAGAGGTAAGAAGGAGAAGGAGGAGGAGGAGGAGGAGGAGGAGGAGGGGAACATGAGGAAGGGGAAGGGCAGGAGGAACAGTGGGTAGGAGGGTGAGCAAGAGAAGCAGGAGGGAGGAGCAGGAGAGAGGAGGGCGAAACAGAGAGACATAAGGAAAGGCAGAGAGGAGCATGACAAGGACACGGAGCAGGAGCAAGAGAAGGGGGAGGAGGAGAGAAAGGAGGAATACCCAAACAAGCTGGCAGAACCGTTAAGATGCCCTGCGTACGCTGGAAGTTCTGAAGGCCAAGACAACTAGGAAATCAGTCCGTGTCGAGCATGGGAGGCAAGCGAGAGGTGATCGCTGGCCGTACCCAGGAACACATTCGATAAGCATGTCCGTACTTCCAGGTGGAACTGCTGGACAGACAGGTGGGTAGATCTTTAACCAGACCGAGGGTATAGGGAGCCAGATCCTCAAGGTAATACCCGGGGTGGGCTGTTGGAGGTATCGCTAATCAATCACCTGGCCTATCGTTTCTTCGTTGGTTCGTTCATTCGTTGCGTAGAACAACTCTGTACTATACTCACGCGTACTTCGACAATGAACTATATCTATGTACATATATATATATATATGTACATAGCTCGCTACCGGTATAGTTGTTTGATCGTTGTTTGTATGGGCCGTAGGACCTTCCTTGAGGTCTTCAATGCTTTCAACCATGGGCATCGCAACTACGCTTGTAAGAGCCAAGGCACCCACATAACATGCAACGTCGCGAGCTCCTGAGAACTAGTGGGCGTTTCTGGGGGCGGTCACATGACTTGCCCCGAAGCTTCTAGAATGTGGCTCAGAACCCTAATATCTAACATGCCCGAGGATGATACCATTGGCACGTCCAATAGTTCCTGCTTGGGCAGAGTAGCTTGAACCGCCTTCGATGCTTCGAAGCCCTCAGGTTTGGCCCGAGAGGCGGAAGTCGTCCCAAATCCAGAGCGTACTTAGAACTGCCGCTCTGGTATTACCTGTTTTAAGATCGCCCAAGGCCCAAAGGGGCGCCCCCGAGGGCCTCAAAAAGACCCAACAGGGATGTGTCGACGGGGCGAGAGACCGAGGATCTCCTCCTTCACAGCTGGAACCACCAGGGCTGCGATGTCTGCCATGGACGTTGTGCTGATCAGGTTCGTGCAGAAGTCCTCAGCAAGGCACCCAGGGAAGGAGGCGATGATGAGGAGCAAAATCAGGCAGAAAAGGATGATGATGTGGACAGGGAGGAGGACACATGCCACCTTGGAGCACGAGGGCGACTCGGGGCAAGGACATGCGGAGAAGGTGGAGCCGTCGTCCGGGAAAAAGAGAGAGAGAAAGAGAGAGAGAGAAAGAGAGAGAGAGAGAGAAAGAGAAAGAGAGAAAGAGAGAAAGCATGAGCAAGAGCAGGAGAGTAGCAGGATGAACGGGGCAGCAAGCTCGCCAGAGCGCCTCCAAGGATTTAGATATCCTCAAGACGGCCTACGATGGCTCCGATCTGGTCCAAGGTAGCCCAAGACGTGGTGGCATCCGAGACTGTCAAGCACGGACCAATCTAGACCCATGATGGCCCCCCTGGTGGCCCCAGCTGACCCGATGGTGCCTCCACGATGGCTCGTTGCCCCCCCTATCGGGGGCGCAAACATGGATTTGCGATCCATGGATTTGGCGCGAGGTCGCTAAATCCATGGATTGGGGGAGGTGCCCTCCCCCAAATGCGGCCGGTGCCGCCCCGTTCGGCGGCGGAGATCCGCGGTTTCCCAGGGAAACGGGACCCGCCGCTGATCCACGCCCCCTTGATCCATGTTCGCGATCGCCTGGACGAGGGCACCCGAGTTGCCCCCCCCCCGCCCTCCGCCGGTGCTCGTGCCCACGCGCGTCGAGGCTGCAGCCCCCGTCGAGCCCTCGCACGGCCCCTCCGAGCCGCGCCCCGTCCGCAGAGAAGAGCCGCGCCCATCGCTCCTGGCCTCCGTGGCGGCCGCCGGCCGGCAGCGAGGGAGGAGCACCGTCGGCCACGCGGGCGGCCCACGGCCCACCCCCCGCTGCACCCCGAACATGATTAGGGGGGGGGGGGGGCGGGCCGAGAGGGGGGGGTAGGGCCAGCGGCGCCGTGCCGAGGAGGCGGAGGAGGAGGCGGAGTGACGCGGAGCGAGACCGCGAGTGGCCCGCAGCGTCGGGAGGCGGAGGAGGAGGAGGAGGAGGAGGAGGAGGAGGAGGAGGAGGAGGAGGAGGGGGAGGAGGAGGAGGAGGAGGAGGAGGAGGAGGAGGAGGAGGAGGGGAGGAGGAGGAGGAGGAGGAGGAGGAGGAGGAGGAGGAGAGGGAGGGAGAGAGAAGGGGGAGGAGGAGGAGGAGGAGGAGGAGGAGGAGGAGGAGGAGGTCGAGTAGGAGGACACTAATTATGCACGAGCCCTCCCTCCTTCAGAAGAGCAGGACAAGCGACATGGACAGACTCTGGGAGGTCCGCGCGGATCTCTTGGATCGAGGCTTGACCCCCAGCGGCACCCCAAGCGCCGCCCATGGCGTGTTCCGCGCGCCGGGGAGAGGGGTCCAGGGGCGATCCTGGATATCCGCGCGGGCACTCGAACGTGCATGTTTATGCCGTCTTGCTCATCATGCCTGCTTCGCTTCGCCATTCTCGCCTCCGTCTCCTCGGCGGCTGCAACGCACACCTCGCGGAGCTGGCGGCGGCAGGCATCGCGTACGTAGATGCATCCTCTAAGCTGGATTGGGTCCGAGTAGATGGGGTCGGAGGATCGCGCCGCATCGTCGATGCATCGCCGACGTCGCCGATGCGTCAGCGCCATCGGCGTGGACAGAGTCGGGCTCCACATCGAGCTGCATCGCCGATGCGTCGGCGATGCGGCGCCACCCTCCGACCCCATCTGCTCGGACTGCACCTGGGCGGCCTAGACTACGTGTCCACTGTGTGGTCCGCCGGCGGCCGCGCCCACCCGAACGCGCTGAGGCAGCGGATGGCCGAAGCTCGGCCATTCTGCCATTGCGGGCGCGGCAACTGCATGCCACTACTGGTATCCCGTTGGAGCCAGATTTGGCTTGGATGGCCACCCCTGTCGATGGACAGGCGTCGGCATCCAAAGGCGGCGCTCCGAAGGGGACGGGGCTTGGCTTCTCAGCAGGCAGGGTGCTTCTCAGAAGCCCTGGGAGGACTTCTCTGTCGTCCTCCGGGGGGTTCTGTGAATCACTTTCCTTGCGAGATAGCCTTGCCCAGTTCCCACCCTGGCCCCTTCGGCGCGACGCCGACATCTCGTAGCCCGCAGCCAGGGTGCCTAAACCTGCTCGTTGGCAGGCCTGACATCCAAACCCTCGCAACGAGGGCGCAGCTGGGCATGCGAGGAAACTGGTCCGCGTAGTAGATGGCCGGAGCTCGGCCATCCTGCCGTTGCGGGCGCGGCAGCTGTCTGCCAGTCCTGGCATCCCGTGGGAACCAGCATTGGCTTGGATGGCGAGCCCCGTCGGTTGATAGGCGTTGGCATCCGCAACCTCGAGCCTAGAGCTAAAATGCCCGCCCCTGCCTCCATGGGACCCTGCGGCATTCTGCCCTCGCAACGAAAGCAAAACTAGGCACCCGAAGAACCTGGTCCGCATGGATGGCCGCATTTCGGCCATCCTGCCGTTGCGGGCGCGGCAACTGCATGTTTCACTGGTATCCCGTGGGGGCCAGATTTGGCTTGGATGGCCACCCCTGTCGATGGACAGGCGCTGGCATCCAAAGGCGGCGCTCCGAAAAGGGGCAGGAGGACGGGGCTTGGCTTCTCAGCAGGCAGGGTGCTTCTCAGAAGCCCTGGGAGGACTTCTCTGTCGTCCTCCGGGGGGTTCTGTGAATCACTTTCCTTGCGAGATAGCCTTGCCCAGTTCCCACCCTGGCCCCTTCGGCGCGACGCCGACATCTCGCAGCCCGCAGCCAGGGTGCCTAAACCTGCTCGTTGGCAGGCCTGACATCCAAACCCTCGCAACGAGGGCACAGCTGGGCATGCGAGGAAACTGGTCCGCGTAGTAGATGGCCGGAGCTCGGCCATCCTGCCGTTGCGGGCGCGGCAGCTGTCTGCCAGTCCTGGCATCCCGTGGGAACCAGCTTTGGCTTGGATGGCGAGCCCCGTCGGTTGATAGGCGTTGGCATCCGCAACCTCGAGCCTTACGCGTTTTTTAAACACACTTTTACACACCCCCTGTAAACGTTCAGATAGCCGCCTCAACTGCAAATTAGGAGGAGGAGTAGCGCAGTCTCTCTCGTGCTTGTCCCTCCTCTCCTGGCGCAAAGTTTCGGCTCGAGGCGTGGGTTTCGCGGGCGAGGCCCGCACTCGAGCCTTCAGAGAGGGGTAGCTTCCAGCCCCTGCTCGCCCCGAGCCCGCCAGGCTCGGGCGCCGCCACGACGCCGGCCATCGGGCGCCCCGGCTGGCTGCTGGTGACCGCGCTCGCCCTCTGCGAGCTGGACGGGCTGCTGGAGGTCTGCGGCGGGCGCCAGCAGGAGGCCGAGGAGATCCTCATCGAGCCCCTCGACCTCGGAGGAGGCGCCGAGTGGCGGGGGTCGCCAGCGGGTTTCATGGCGCCGTGGAGCAGGTGGAACCGCGTCTACGTCCAGACGCAGGGGAGGAACACGGGGGTGGTGATGCTGCTGGTCAGTCGGGTCGGTCCAGGGACCTCGTTGGTTTGGACCGCGATCGACCCCGCGAAGCGGGTGCAGATCATCAACCTGCGGGACAAGGCGAGGATGCTGCCGCGCCCGAAGAAGGGAGTGACCTGGACCGAGCACCCAGGGCTGAATGAGAAGGAGAGAGAGCAGGCGATCATAGCCGCGGAGCGGCTCATTGTGCGACATGAGCTGGGACAGGCTGGTGCTGAGAGTGCGAAGGCCAACCTGACGAAGGGCAAGAAGGCGAGCTCGAAGGCCAAGGTGGCGTCCTGGTTCGGCAAGGGCCTCGTGACCACCGTGGTGACGGCGTGGGCCCACAAGACGTGGGGTGGTGCTGCAGCGGTGTTCTTTGTGGGCTGGAGGTTGTGGCGTTGGCTGCATCTCGGGTCCTTCTTCGCCGCGGGGTACCACACCGTCTCGGCGGGGATGCAGGCGATCGAGGACCTGGACAACTTCCGCGAGTTCCTGGGAGAGCTGTACGAATCGGGCGACCTCGAGCTGTGCGCGGCGTACCTGGGTTGCGTTCTCATCGTGATCTACGGGATCTGGACATACGGATGCTCGTGCCGAAAGGAGGTCGACTCGGACAGCGACTCGGGCTCGGACTCGGACGGCGGGTCGGTGCACGCCGGCGATGACGTGAGTGACGTGAGTGGCGACGAGCGGGACACCAAGACCCTGTTCGCGGAGTTGGCTCGCGGTCAGTCTGACTTGGCCGACGCTGTGGGTATGCTGAAGTCGAGGTTGGATGTCGGGGGCGGAGCGGGAGCGGGACCTGCCTGCGGCAGTGGGGCTCTGGCGTCGGAGCCAGGCCCGCCTCCCCCGCCCCCCGCGGGGCCGCCACCGTCCAGAGGAGACGATCCCAGCTCGGCCGAGGTGGATGCGTTCATCAAGAAGCTGACGGAGCACGAGGAGCTGGTGCAGCGGGACTCGGGCTTGAGCACCCGAGCGCAGGCAGGGTCGCCCACGCCGAGCTCGAGTGCAGCGTCCTGGGAGAAGGTTGGAGACCTGGGCGAGCTCGATGACCCCCTGAAGGACCAGATCGTGCAGCTGAAGGAGGAGTCGAAGAACCCAAAGGAGAGCTTGCTGGCGACGTTGGAGAAGTATCGCCGCGTGGCGGGTTCCCCCGTGGGGGGGATCAGGGCCCGCGTGGCGCCGACAGTGCTGGCGAGGCTCTACAAGGGCGGACGGAGCGCACGCGTGGAGACGCAGGAGTGGCTCCGCTCCAAGGAGCTGCAGGGCGCGGGCATCGCGCAGGAGCTGAACATGCTGGCCCTGGTCCTTGACAGGATGATGAGCCAGGGGCAGTACGACGAGCTGATCAACTCGCAGGCCGCGGAGGTGACCTGCCTGCGCCTGTACTCGATCTGGAAGGCCTACGAGCGGGTGCAGTGCAAGAGCGACTGGCTGAGGCCCAAGGCGCAGCACGGCGGCAAGTGGCGCTCGAAGGTCGACTGGAGTCTGGCGGAGGAGTACCTGCGCCTCGACGGGGACCCCAACAGCGAGAACAGGGGGGCCGATGACGAGGTCCTGGAGAAGCTCAGGCGGCGGGCGATCCTCAGCAAGCACCTGGGTGAGGTGCGCTCGGGGCAGCCTGCCGGCGAGGACGAATAGGTTGCGGCCGGAGCTATCGTGGTGTGCTCTGGCCAAGGCCTGAGGGGTCAATCCCCTCTACCACGGCCGCGGCGGCGAGCCGCTTTCGTGCCGAGCTTCTTGCTGGACACGTCTTTCGGGTGGTGGTGCTACATCGGGCTGGTGAGCTTCCTGACGATCGGCTGTGGGGTCTTCCACGGCGGCGTCGGAGCGTCGAGGCCTTTCTTGTACTTGGGGCCTCGCGCCGTTCTGTGGCGAGCAGGTTTTCCCGTACGTCGGAGCGCAGGTCGCTCGGTGGTCCCAGATGCCTACTGGGGAGAAGGATTTGAGAGAGAGGGATCCCTTGAGGAGTCTGCCTGGGCTCCCATTCCCACTACAGTCGAGGAGGTCGAGTTCGAGCCTGTCCGAGAAGGAGCTGAGGACAACCTGGCAGCGGACTTCGAGGACGATAGCGGCGATCAGGAGTATGGCGACGGGCTGTTCGAATGGTTGGATACATCCATCGACCCTGACGGACAAGCAGACGTGCCAGACGGACTGGAGTGCGAGTACGCCGCTACAGAAAAGACTGGTGACGGAAGCCTGGGACCTTCACGCCGCGAGGGCGAAGTGGGGGACCATCAACGACGGCAGGGCGGCATTGAGCCGCTTGGCAGGAGGAAGCCCGACAGAGTATTTTGCAAAGGGAGCGAGGCCTACGACGTCTACGGCATCGAAGGCTTCACCGCAGTTGAGGAAGGGCGACCTGTGCCCTCTGAGAGCGGAGCAGGTGTCTCTTCCAGCGCCGGGGACCCAGAGTTTGGAGGTGGCGGCGATCTCGAGTCTCGCTGGGCGGTACCTCACAGAGGCCGGCCAGCTGATGATCAAGGGCTCGGGGGAGGTCGACTGGGAGAAGTACGAGGCGACAAAGAGCTACTCGGACCCGGCGTGGCGGAGCAAGAAGGAGCGCTTGGCACTTGCCCTGCGGATGGCGCAGGCTGGAATGATAACATATGTGACGAGGGTACGCGAACATGTCGGGCTGTTCACGGTGGCGAAGGACTTCGACCCCAAGACTGGTGGCATTGTGAAGTCGCGGCTGATCTGGGACTGCCGAAGAGTCAACCTGCTCTTCGTGGATCCCCCGTGGGTGCCTTTGGGCAGTCCCGCGGGGCTCGCGCTCCTAGAGCTGGACGAGGCGGTGCTGCGTGGACGGCGGCTCTTCTCCTTCCAGGGCGACGTACCGGACTGGTTCTATCGGTTGCACTGGGGTTCGTTTTTGGCGGAGTATTTTGTGGTGGAGGATGTCTCGCCGCAGGAGCTGTACCAGTACGGGATGGAGCAGGGTGTGGCTTTGCCGAAGCCGCGCGAGGAGGACGTTGGTATTGGGGCTTCGAGTTTGGTCATGGGCTCGGCGTGGGCGGTGTTCTTGGCCCACAGCTGCCGGGAGGCAAGCTTCGAGTCCCTGAAGGCCCCCAGCTTGACTTACGGCAAGCCCACCCCGTCGTTTGGCCTATCGGAGGAGGAGGCGATCAGGTTCCTGCTGATGTTGTGCATCGACGACTACATCGGCTTCACCCTCGAGGGCGAGGACGGCGAGCAGAAGATCCTGGAGGACAAGGAGATGATCAAGGAGCTTCTGAACGGCAAGGGGCTCGCGGTGCACAAGGAGGCCTGGGGCGAAGGGATGGAGAACGGACTGGGCCTGTGCATCGCCGCCACGAGGCCCTACACGCTGAGGATCCAGCCGAAGAAGATGGAGCAGGTCGTGCTGGCTACCGAGGCGGCGGTGTTGGAAGTGGCTCTCAGACCTTCGGCGGTGGCTTCTCTGGTCGGGCACTGGACCTGGACCATGATGGTCTTCCGCCCCTCGTTTGCGATCCTGGACGCGACCTACAGGTGGCTGAGGGAGTTCGACGAGGAGGAGAGTGTTGTGCCGCACCGCTTGCCCGAGGAGGTCAGGAGCGAGTTGAGGGCCGTCGCGTCCCTCTCGGTCTACATGGAGTCGAACCTGGAGATGGGCTGGTGGCCGAGAGCATACATGACGGATGCGTCCAACGAAGGCTTCGGCGCCCTGGCCTGCGACTGCACGGAGGAGGACGTCCGACGAGAAGCTGCCCGTGGAGATGGGGGAGCTTGGGGACCCCTGACCGAGCAGAGCTACACCGAGATCGAGCGAGCGCAGGAGGCGATCGGCGAGGAGGAGGACCTCCCGGCCGCTCCCACTGCGGGGCGACCTGGGGTGCTGGAGCTTTTCGCTGGGAGCTCTCGCTTGCTGGAGGCGATCAGGGAGATGACCGACTCGTGGGGCGAGGCCTGGGACATCCAGCGGGGCGTGGAGTTCGACGTACTGGTCACAGAGAACTTGGAGCTGTTGTTACGGAGAGTGAGGACTGGCTGGTTCTGGTGGGTGCATGTTGCCCCCCCGTGCGCGACTTTTTCGAGAGCAAGGCAGCCGCCGCTGAGGTCGAGCGATCACCCGTGGGGGCTGCCAGACTGCACGGAGACGGACCAGGCCAAGATAGACGAAGGGAACGCTTTGGCTTTGATAGCGGTAGAGGTGGTCAAGATCTGCCTACGCCTTGGCATTGGATTCACCCTCGAGAACCCCAGGACCAGCATGATATGGGCGTTCGCACCAATGACCGCGCTCTTGGATCTCGAGGGGGTGTTCCGTGTGGAGGTGGATTACTGCATGTATGGCGAAGAATGGAGGAAGCCAACTACGTTCATCACCAACGTGAAGAAGATGGCGACGCTACAGCGGGTGTGCTTGTGCCCTGCGAGCCGACGCAGTCGGACGGGCCGTGCTCAC